AAAAAAAAAAAAAAAAGAGAGAAAGCGAAAAAGAAACTTAACTCTTGTCTATATCATTAGCCAATGGCAAAAGTGGCTTCATTATATGTGGTTTCACTGTAAGTTACATTTTCCAAAAACTGTCTCCAAACCTAAGTGAGGAGTTACTATACACCTAACGTGATAGATACCTCCAGCTAAATATCCAACCAGCACTGAAATCCCAAGTCCAGCAAAATCCCCAAGTCCAGAAAAAACCAAAGGAATTAGACACCAGGAAATGAAAACTTGAAATTGGTAATGAAACGTCTCTGTACATGGATTCCCTGCTCCATGCTTGAGACAAAGGCTACAATGCCCTTTCCACCCCAGTGTTGCCCCCCTCATCTCTTCTGGTAAACCTCAGTCTTTTCCATCATCATTATCATTGTAAATTCAGCAGAAATGCAACACTTCCTGTGGTGCCAAACATCTTTTATGTTATTATGCAGAACAGGCTTCTCTTTCCCCAAACTTCCAAATATTACATTTTAATGCCTCATGCATAATCAAAAGGCCTATTAAAATATTTTTAAACAAAGCCAAACAGTAGCGTTCCCTTCATGACTGTCACGTCTACCTCCAGACACTGATAATTGCCAGCAATCACCAATAAGCTTACCTATGCTCAGAAAAACACAGATCTCAGCAGGCGATCTGGCTACACGTGAATAGGAAAGAGTGTTCAGATGATGACCAGGCACAGTGGCTCACACCTGTAATCCCATCACTTTGGGAAGCCGAGGCAGGGGGAACACCTGAGGTCAGGAGTTCAAGACCAACCTGGCCAACATGGTGAAACCTTGTCTCTACTGAAAATACAAAATTATTCGGGCATGGCAGTACATGCCTGTAATCCCAGCTACTCAGGAGGCTGAGACAGGAGAACAGCTTGAACCCAGGAGGCAGAGGTTGCAGTGAGCCAAGATTGTGCCACTGCACTCCAGACTGGTCAACAGAGCGAGACTCCATTTCAGAAAATAAAAAGGAAAGAAAAACCCAGATCTCAGCAGATGATCTGGTAACATGTGAACAGGAAAGAGTGTTCAGAAGGTAGTAGGTAGACAGGGGAGATGATGAAATTGTTCCACCAGTGTGATTAAGGACTCATGGAAGAAATACTTCTCTGCCTCCTGACTAAGAATAACTGTTCTTTTCTGAACAGTGGGGTTGTGTTTATCTTAAGGACACCACGAATCTTATACCTGGTCCTGTTTCCCCCTCACATTACCAGTTAGGAGGCTCAGAGCCTGTGGCCAGTTTGCTTTCTTATCCTTATTTTCCCTTTGTCTCATTTTCCATAGCTTAAATATGTTTTACTCTGTAGTGTTCACTTTCATAAGCCTTAAAATCCTTTTTCAATACATAAATAAATACTATTTTTAAAATACAGTGAAATTACAACTGTATGACAGAACCATGGATTTATACTGGAAGGCAGCCTGGGAAAAAGATAATTGTATTAGGGTGGTAAGATTATGGGTAATTAGCCGGGCATGGTGGCTCACGCCTGTAAGCCTAGCACTTTGGGAGCCTGAGGCGGGCGGATCATGAGGTCAGGGGCTCGAGACCAGCCTGACCAACACGGTGAAACCCGGTCTCTACTTAAAAATACAAAAAAATTAGCTGGGCATGGTGGTGCACACCTGTAATCCCAGCTACTTGGGAGGCTGAGGCAGGAGAATTGCTTGAACCCTGGAAGCAGAGGTTGCAGTGAGCTGAGAGCACACCATTGCACTCCAGCCTGGGTAACAGAAAAAAAAAAAAAAAAAAGATTATGGGTAATTTATTTTCCTTTTTGAATGTACATTCAAATTATAAAGTATCAATATTTTTAGTAATTTTTTTCTGATTGTAAAGCATATGTTTATGTTTTTAAAAAAAAAGATCCCTGGTGGTCTAGTGGTTAGGATTTGACATAAAAAAATTTTTTTTAAAAGAGAAAAATATAAAGATGATAATATCATTTACCATCTAACTCTCTAGATATCAGTGTTCTCTTTACTATTTTTTCACTCTTTTTAAAATGCATATGTGTATGTGTATATTTGAAAACTATTTTTTTGTTGTTGTTATTGTTGTTTTTGGAGACAGAGTCTCATTCTGTCACTCAGGCTGGAGTGTGGTGGTGCAATCTCGGCTCACTGCAGCCTCTGCCTCCAAGGTTCAAGCAGTTCTCATGCCTCAGCCTCCTGAGCTGAGACCATAGACGCCTGCCACCATGCCCAGCTAATTTTTGTATTTTTAGCAGAGAGGGGATGTCCCCATGTTGGCCAGGCTGGTCTCCAGCTCCTGATTTCAGGTGATCCCCCTGCCTCAGCCTCCCAAAGGGCTGGGATTACAGGCTGGAGCCACTGTGCCTGGCCCCAAGTTTAAGTTATTCTTTACACTTTTTTGTAAACTTGCTTTCACGTGAGTTTCAGATATTTTCCCTTGTCATTCAATATTCTTCATCGTCACTTTCAGTTGTGCAGTCCCCATTTTATGCGTGTGTCATATTCATGTAACACATCCCCCTTTGTTGAACATGTAGGTTGTTCACTTTTAGTCCTTCCTTTCCAGGTTTATTTAGTTGGCCAATAAGCCAGCTTTGCTGAAATGTGCTTCTTCGACTGATATTCTTGTTCTTTTTTCCTTACAGTGGTCTCTGGTTCATCATCCAGCTCTAAGTATGACCCTGAGATCCTGAAAGCTGAAATTGCCACTGCAAAATCCCGGGTAGGACCTCCTCGCCTATACTATGTGCTAGTGATGGGGGCCACTGAGGTCTTAGGCCACAAGCCTGCCAACAAGGCCAGAGCAGATGCTTCAGCCAGGCCATGACAGCCAGTGCTAGCAAGGCCCTGAATAATAACATTAGAGGCAGTAGTCACAGTAATAGTGATGGTCATAGCAGTTACCTTTTCACAAGCAGTCACCATATACCAGGCACAGTGTGAAATACCTCATTACCTTGTGTCCTTGCAACAACTCTGTGAAGTAATTGCTGTCACCTGCATTTTACTTTATTTATTTATTTTTTGAGACAGTCTTGCTCTGTCACCAAAGCTGGCATACAGTGGTGCGATCTCGGCTCACTGCAACCTCTGCCCTCCCAGGTTCAAGTGATTCTAATACCTCAGCCTCCCAAGTAGCTGGGATTACAGGTGCATGCCACCATGCCCAGCTAATTTTGATATTACTAGTAGAGACAGACTTTCACCATATTAGTCTGGCTGGTCTTGAACTCCTGACCTCGGGTGATCCACCCGCCTCAGCCTACCAAAGTGCTGGGATTACAGGTGTGAGCCACCACCAAGCTGTCATCATCTGCATTTTAAAGATGAGCAGATAGAGGTTTAGGGGAGCTAAGAAACTTGCGCAAGGTCACAAGAGATTCAAGTCTTACTCCAGAGTTTCTAATATGGTATACTATCTTCCTAGCTACTGATTATTCTGCATGATCTTATTTTAATTACTTCATGATTACCATAGGGAATAAATATTAGTATTTCCATTTTACCAACATGGAAACTGAGGCACCACAATTACATTACTTGCTCGCAGTAAAGTCATTGTTTTGAAGAGTGTTTTAGTTAGACTCGACGTATTTAATAGTTTCCACAAACTCAGATGCCTGCAAGAAGACATAAATGAGGGATGTGTGCTGGAGGTGAGGCAGTAGAGAGTAATGGTGACTGTGTAACCGGGAGACGTCTGCCCAGTCTAAATGGTGATTACATTTGAACTCTAGTCTGTTGTGCCCGTGCTGGAATGTGGGCTCAGTGTTACCAGATCTTCAGGTGTTTTCAGAAATGAACTGTATGTCTAGGTTTATTATATAAACTTTCTGAAGCTTTGGTTATTAGCAACTCATTTTAAAAGTTGAATAGTCCAGGTGCAATGGCTCATGCCTCTAATCCCAGCGCTTTGGGAGACCAAGGTGGGCAGATCACAAGGTCAAAATATCGAGATCATCCTGACCAACATGGTGAAACCCCATCTCTGCTAAAAATACAAAAATTAGCTGGGCGTGCACCTGTAGTCCCAGCTACTTGGGAGGCTGCGGCAGGAGAATCGCTTGAACCTGGGAGGCGGAGGTTGCAGTGAGCCGAGATCGCATCACTGCACTCCATCCTGGCAACAGAGGGAGACTCTGTCTCAAAAAAAAAAAAAAAAAAAAAAAAAAAAAAAAGAATAATACAATGTAGGCCACACAAACCTGCAGACAGAGTCTAGCTCCTAGGACACGTCTTGCCACTAAAGTTACTACATTGCCTCTCGCCTCCACGCAAAGCACTCTCATAGCTTTTGCCAGCTTTAAGTGAAAATGGCCCTGGGAATTGCCATTGTCCTCATCCATCAGAACAGTACAGGGAGGCTCAGGATGGCAAGATGGCTTGAGAGAGGTCACACAGCAAGGAAGTCGGAAGGCCCACTCTATCCCAGGTCAGCTCCTGTCTACCCCCTGTTTCCCTGGAGCAAGGACTGGCTAGGAATGACCTACAGGAATGCTGCCTGGGATGCTGCCTGAATGGGCATCTGCAGAGACCAAGACCAGCATCAGTGAGGGGAGGGGGCTCTGACCAGTGTGGCCCAAGGGGTGCTGTCCTGAGTCATTATACAGGCACAGTGTGGGGGGGGGGGGGCTCTGGGTTCCCCTTCCAGAAAGAAGGCAACCTGCACCTTGTGTCAGCCTCTGACCCAGCCTATGTGTGGTCTGCTGCCCTCCAGGTCAACAAGCTGAAGAGAGAGATGGTTCACCTCCAGCACGAGCTGCAGTTCAAAGAGCGTGGCTTTCAGACCCTGAAGAAGTAAGTGCATCCTGCGTTGCAGAGCATGGGGGCTGCTCCGCACCCAGGCTCCCCTCCTGCCCTCTCTGTCTCTCTCTCCTTCAGTCCCTTTCCTCCCTTCTCAAAATGTGGCTCTCTCGTCATTCAAGTCAAGTTCTTTTCCACTGGCATTTCCTGAAGATACTGCCACCCAAGGGTGGGGTTTGGAAAGAGGAAAAGGGAATCATTTCAGACCACAGAACTCTCATTGTCCTGTGAACTCCTGAAGCCAATAAGATCTGTTCCACTCAGCCGAGTGTTACTAGCCAGTCACAGAAAGAAGCATTGCTAAGCGTTTCCGTGCACGTGCCTCACCTCTAATCGATCCAGTAGGGTCTCATATGCACACAAACAAAACACACTCCTTTTTTCCATGTCCCCTAAGGGCACTCACCAAGTGCTTCATTGAAAGAATAATGATCTCTTCTAGCAAAAACCAGTTACTAGAAAAGTATGGGAGATGCCGTGTACATTGGGCTCTATGGGTGACTTAAGGAGCTTCCAGGATAACTTTCACCAAATGTAATTTTCACCTTTAGAAGCTGACCTGTGGCCAAGTAAGATACAGCTCTGTTGTGT